AGCAGAGTGCCATTTCTTCAGTGTTGTCACATGAAAAGATATAATAAAATATTTACAAACATGTGAGGGGTGTTCTCACTTTTGTAAGATACTGTAAGTGATGGTCATTATATGGTCATTATATGCTTGGTCTGATGATTTGCAGATAAAACAAACTGCACAAGAATGTTATCATCACCATAGACTCCGCTGTAAGTCCTTCAACACTAGTTGAAGATATCAGTATAAGTATGTAGTTGTTTGTTCTCATAAGGACAACTGAATATCTTTTGCTTATTATGTATCTCTTGCCACAAAGTATTCTGTGCCTCTGGACACCACCTATTCATTGGTGTCTACCTATAACATTTTACAACAGTCTCTAATCATTTTGATTCTGCTGTTGGTCATAATTTGTACAGTATTTTAATATTTGAATGTTTGTCCTGACGTTGTTGGCCTACAATTTCCTACTTATAATTTAATAGTTGTCATAATTTCTATGTTTCTGTGGTTCATCCTCATATTCTCTCACTACAAATGAATGAAGTGCTCTTTCTTGACTTTGCCTAGTAATATCTACTATTTGTGTTATTGGTTTCTACCTCTCCTTTACAACAATAATTCTATGTACAGGCACTCTTTTATCCGTATTGGTGCAAGGTATCAAGGTAGCCCATTTACCTCCTAACAAACATATAACAACAAATGATACCACACTCAATAATTTTGAATATAATTAATTGCTCTATTTAATAATTCATTAATTTTACAAACATAGTAATATTTAGAGTTCAAGTAGAGTAATATTTAGATATATGCAAGAAGGGAATAAGAAAATATTATAAAAATAAACTTTGTGGAAATGATATATCCTGTGACCACCAATGTTACTCCATGTATATATAGATCCCTACAAAATCCGACTTACTTATTAACAATAGTGCTAAACTGCATTAATGTATCTGAGAGCCCAGATTACCATCTGAGAGATTTTTTGAAAAAATGAAAAAATATAAAAATGAAAAAACAACAAAAAAATGAAAAAATGAAAAAATATGAAAAAACTGGAAAAAATAAATGAAGAAATGATGTATATACAGTCCCAGTGTGTACACACTATGATGTTTGGATGGATCTCACCAAAATTTCCATAGAGACAGGTCCTGTTCCAGGCAAAGTTGTAATATGCACACGTAGATGGTGAACAGTACACAGTATCTCTGTAATTTTTATAATCCTGTTATTTCTCCCTGGGTGTATATGAGATCTCCCCGTTGTCAGTGAGGTACCGGGCATCTTCTTCAAATATCGGTGTAGGGTACTGGGCTACGCGCTCGGGACCTTGATAGCCCCTTCAATGGCCCTGTTGAGGTAAGGAATAAAATATTTGTATTTATATCCTGTTATGGCACGCCCGCTTGGTCGCACGGGTCGCGCCCAATTGACGTCATGGCGCACACGTCTATTGGAATACTATACACAAGATCCAGCGCACTCACCTATCCACTAAATGGCTACTTCAATATTGAAAGATTTTATTAGTTTTTTTAAAAACACCTAATCTAGGCAAAAATAATGGGGGTTTAGTTACATTATATGATCATACATTGCATAAGCCTGCCACAACGTCAATGTACCCCATCTTTGGCAGGTCCTACACTAACAGGCTAATGTCTGTTGTTATGAGATTAACCCACTTACTTGAGGGAAAAAATTCAATCTGGGGCTCTCTGCAGTACAAGGCTAAATAGGGCCCTGGGATGAGACACCTGTGACAGGGAGGGGTACAAAACCAAGGAGTTGGCTAGACTCCCAAATATATATATATATGAAACAAGGGGGGGCTGGCTCCACTCACCTGAACATGCATAAATGGGGGTGCTGCTGGGGGCCAAATAATACAATACACAAGATCCAGCGCACTCACCTATCCACTAAAAGGCAACTTCAATATTGAAAGATTTTATTAGTTTTTTTAAACACACCTAATCTAGGCAAAAATAATGGGGGTTTAGTTACATTATATGATCATACATTGCATAAGCCTGCCACAACGTCAATGTAACCCATCTTTGGCAGGTCCTACACTAACAGCCTAATGTCTGCTCTTATGAGATTAACCCACTTACTTGAGGAAAAAAATGTCCATCTGGGGCTCTCTGCAGTACAAGGCTAAATAGGGCCCTGGGATGAGGCACCTGTGACAGGGAGGGGTGCAATACCAAAGAGTTGGCTAGACTCCCAAATATATATATATATATAACAAGAGGGGGCTGGCTGCACTCACCTGAACATGCATAAATGGGGGTGCTGCTGGGGGCCAAATAATACAATACGCACTCAACTATCCACTAAACGGCAACTTCAATATTGAAAGATTTTATTAGTTTTTTTAAAGACACCTAATCTAGGCAAAAATAATGGGGGTTTAGTTACATTATATGATCATACATTGCATAAGCCTGCCACAACGTCAATATACCCCATCTTTGGCAGGTCCTACACTAACAGCCTAATGTCTGCTCTTATGAGATTAACCCACTTACTTGAGGAAAAAAATTCCATCTGGAGCTCTCTGCAGTACGAGGCTAAATAGGGCCCTGGAAATACTGGGGTGTGGCTCCCCCAATGTGCATGCGTGCTTGTCTCTCACTGTGCCTGCGTATCCATCTCAGTGTGCATGCGTATGTATCTCCCAGTGTGCACATGTACCAGACAAGATACTGTAACCTTTGGGATTAAAGGGATGCCGTCCGCCCTCCATAGCTTTATTAACAAAGTCAGTAATTAAACAATCCCTCCTGTACCTAACAAAAGGCTGTACAGAGGAATAAAGTTCTATGTTAGCCTATACAGAGAATTTAAAATCTATATTGGCCCATAAACCACAATATCACAACATACATGTATATACAGATATAAAAACAAACATGGAGTATTTAAATTAACCTACTTAGTTGGCAGAATACCGGAGGAAACTGGTGAGATATAGGAACACTAGCCCTTATTCCTTCCTATCCCCCAAATATATCTAGAATACACAAATGCAACAAATGTATCCCATATTTATAGAACTCTACTGAAGATCTAAATATTATTATTATATTAAGGTATGTTATTGGGGATGCAATCTCCAAGGAAAGTCATCTGAAAGCGGGAATTATGCTACTAATAACCCTAAAGAGGTCCTCCTATGTTTCCATTTATATTGAAAATCTTTTGTCAAAGACAAGCATTATTATGAAATTATACTATACTCCAAATAATATCTTTTGAGACAATATATCATTATTTAAGAGGCCATACATCTAAAAAGTTTTTTTGTAAAAAGAGGTCTATGTAGTGAAAAACTTTTAATAAGGGACTTTCCAATGTCATTAAATAGTTTACCACGGATAACCTGCGTTAGCTATATAGGAACCCTAAGTAGAAAGGACAAAAAACATAGTTCGACTAGGGTTATAAAGAAAAAACACACAGTGTGGCAGCAAATGGACACACATGCGTTAAAATGGGGTATCTGGTATATAAACTGTCTCAGTTGTTCATATTTTAGACCTGTGTAGGAACGTGTCTGGGGTTCCGTTTAAGAGGTCAGGTATGCGTCTAAGTGTGTCTCCCTCCATCATGTGCCTAATCTGAACCTGCTTGAAAGAGAGAAAACATGTGAAAGCCTTACCCTTCATTACAGGGGGAAATTCAGGGTTACTCGTCAAGGGGAAGAAGGGTAAAGGGAAAGAGGAAAGGCCCAACCTAGGCGTGATTCTGTGCCAAACCTCCAGGGTGGCCCCTACACACGGTTGTTGGTTTAATAGTTTCCTGCCTTACCCCGGGCTCATCCACGTCAAGGCAGTTGAGGATCCACCTGTCTAGGCCTGTTCGACCTCCTTCCATAACTTGTCTACCCCACTCTTAACCCATTCCAGTATTCTCTGCATATGGGAGGAGCAGTAATATAGGAAGAAGTCAGGGACAGCCAACCCACCCTCTACTTTCAGCCTTAAAAGAGTCTGATAGCATATTCTGGATCAGTGAGGACCCCAAATATATTAGATTACCAGCGTACGGAGCGATGTGAAGAATGCTTGTGGGATCATGATAGGTAACATTTGAAACAAGTAAAGAATTTGTGGTAATATGTTAATTTTCGTAACTGCAATACATCCCAATCAGGATATATGAGGCAGAGCCCAATCTTCAAAGTTCTTCCCGAATTTCGAAATCATAGGCGTGACGTTTGTCTGGTAAAGTTGTGAGAGATCCCTTATGAACCACACTTCTAGAAACGTAAGTGCTCTAGCTAACGGTTCGAGGACAAGGACGTAGAGCAGCAGTGATAGTGGACACCCCTGTCTAGTTCCACATCTTATTTGGAAGGGCTTCATATAGGTATCAGTGATCCACACTCTGGCCGTGGGGTTGTCATAGAGCGCCGTAATCCATGTTCTTTCCCACTCCGATGGCCCACAATGACTACAGGAGAAAGCCCCCAGTCAAAGACCTTCTCAGGATTCGTAGAAAGTAGCAGAAACCCTCTCTGCTTCTCTAGGCCTGGTGCACCAAAGTAAGTGCCCACGTAGTGTTATCTCTGGCCTCTCGGAAGAGAACAAAGTCCACCTGCTCCGCCTACAAAGGCCGGCTAAGTAAGGTTTTGTCCTGGTTGCCAAGACCACTGTAAACAGCTTTAGGTCACTGTTTAGAAGTGATATGGGTCTGTAATTGGCACGCTGCTCCAAGTCCTTGTCCTCTTTGGGGATCAGGGTGATGTTGGCTGCCACAGTTTAGGTGGGTAATCTCTGTCCCTGCGTGAGTGAGTTATAAGCCCTCAGAAATTGAGGATACAGGACGCCTGCAAATTGCTTGTAATAGCACAATATGAGTCCGTCAGAGCCTGGGCTTTTGTCCGTGTTTGTGGACTTGACCGCCTCTGCTAGTTCCTCTATTGTCAGAGGCACTTCTATCACCTCTTCTGTCAATTTGGAATGGATGTTGGCTTCCAAGTAATCTCGTATGTACTCTCATCGGAGTAGTTGTGTGCTGCGCCTAAATGATGATTCCAGGGAGTATAAACTCTCATAGTAAGAGTGCGCTATCTTAGCAATATTGTCCGGCAAGTGTTGAACCAAGCCCTGGCAGTCACGTAGGTAAGCTATGTAGGATTTGTTTTTCTTATTGTTGATAAGTCGAGCCAACAACCTGCTGCCGTTATCGCTGTTAACATAGAAGAACGCTTTAGAGTGTTGGAGGTGTCGTTGGTGGTGACAATGCAGAAGGGTAGATAACCTGCCCCGCAATGCACTCAGTTCCTGGAAGATGGTCAATGTTTGTTCGGATTTATGAGCCGTCTCCAATACATGGATGTCATTGACGAGTTTGTGAATTTCCGTTTCCCTATTCCTTTTCATAGTGGCCCCTTTGGCAATAAAAAAACCCTTATTACGCACTTATGTGCCTCCCATATTACTGGGACTGACATATCAGAGGACTCATTGTCAGTGAAGTAATGAATAAGTGTCGCATTTGCGTCCTGTAGGACAAGTGGGTCAGATAAGAGAGTTTCATTAAGTCACCAGTTAACAGTACAAGGTCGGCAAAGGGGTGACTTTAAGGTCATTGTCATTGGGGCATGGTCCGTCCAAGTTGTCACGCCCAGATCTACTTGCTGTACTTAGTGGAGGTAGTAGTAGGGAACAAAAAAAAAAAGTAGTTCAGTCTGACTTATCTGTAATGAGGAATGGAATAATGGGAGTAGTCTCTGCCGTCGGGATGTAAGGCCATCCAACAGTCAGACAGCTAGTGAGTGTGTAGCAGGTTCTTAAACAACTGTAGGACATGTTTGGGAAATACTGAGATTCCTGCGGAGGTATCAACCCTTGGGTCCAAAGCGACATTGAAGTCTCCCCCAAGAATCACGAGACCCTCCACAAATGGCAAGAGCATACGGAATGTAGATGTCAGGATCGTATCCTGACAACTATGTTTTATCTTCCTTTATTTCTGTTCCTTTAAAAGAAGTTCCAGCTCTCAACCACTAGTGGCCTCTCTAGCCACTAGTCATCTCAGTCCTCACCTGTTTAAAGTTTATGTTCTTACTTAAACACTTCATATCCTGGCTCCTGTTAACCTGCTTCAGACTTGCCTTCAAACCTGCTCCTAACAATAACCTGCTCCACCCCTAAGTATACTTCAAACCAGCCTGCCTCTGTAACCAGCCTTCCTTTGATACCAACCTGCCTTTGTTACAACCCTACCTGGAAATTAACCTGTTCTGTGGCAAGTATCCTGTTTTGTGGCATATTACCTAAATTCTTTTTCCCTCAAGTTTCATATGTCTAAAATCACTAATAAAATACCTGAAGTCAACCCTGGCAGAAGTCTCCTATCTGACCTGCTCAAGATCATGACAGAATGCAAAGGCCTTAAACCAGAGACTACAGGGTTAACCAACGTTCTAACAATCATTGCTGAAAGTTGCTGACCTATGCAAAACTGTTTCTTTCTTACCGCAATCAAGCTCCTGCATATCACCTGAGAAAAAGACTGAGACTGTCTTACCTTCCAGGAAAAGCAGAAAATGAGAGCCGTTACCAAAGGAAGAAATCCAAAAGAGACAAGAGGATTCATGTTTTTATTGTGGTGAAAAGGGGCACAGAATCTCATTCTGTCCAAGAAAACCCCCCAAACCCTCATCTGACTTCGATCCAAACTTACATACCTCTCAACCTGACTCTCCTTTTTACAAAGACCATATGGACTACGTTTTTTTACCCTCAGAAAACTCCATTATCTACCTACTACTCCTCAGATGACTCCCTATCATCTCACCTAGTAGATGAAAATTATGTTCATGATGAACTACCCTCTGATAAGTAAGAGATTGGAGAAGAACTATTCATGGAAGATCCTATGCTGACTGCTATGGCTACTACTCTTAAAATCCAATTCTCAACAAAAAAGAATACGTCAAGGGGGCGGAGTCTGGCTTCCATGCGGGACAGATGTGTGTTGCTCGAGCTCCCGGGCTTTCCTCACTCTTTTGGGATGACAACCCTGATTAATCGAATGCATCCTGTTACTAGAGGGAACGATCATGAAGCCAGGCTCTTGTGACACACACAGATACCCAAATCTAGCCTGTAACCCCTTGGAGACCTGAGCCACGCTCCTGCGGCCTACTGGGAAAAGGCCTGAGGAGAGGTGGCTGATTTCCTCACCTTGAAAACCCCCATTTGGCTCGACGGCGACCCTACCCCTAACCCCCGGACCGGCGGGAGATATCCCGGTCCCCACTGGACACTCTCATATTTGACTGGTGTTCACTCTCTAAAAAACGCCACACTGCCTGCCATTGTGTAACTATATTGTTATTGTTTCTTTGTTTTTTCCTTTCTCTCTCCCTCTTTCCCTTGTACTCTCCCTCTCCTGCCAATAACACAAGGGGGATGATTATTGTTTATTGTATATTGCTCTAATATTGAGGTGCCCCGGAGGCCAGTGGATCAATTCCATATGATAATCTACAGTCCATGCCAGATTCTATTTTTAGCTCAGTATAATCTTGCCTTTTTAATACTTTAACTCAGTACCATAAGCATGTTACACAACCTACTTTATTGTTTCTATATACATGTCTATGAACTTGCATGCTCTCTCTCAAAATCTCCTCTAGACATGTTTTGCCTAGCCGGTACCTCATACTACTTTAAAAAATTGTGCAGTACAATCGAATGCCTTATTACTGTTATGCACTGTTCAACTAATTGTCTTGCCACTGCTGTAGGGGCATTGCAAGAATGTTTGTTACTCTTATGCACAAAAAAAAAAATATGCAAAACCTCCATTTGGTGTCCCTGGTTTTGTAAAAGCCAGCGATGGTACTATTATGCCTATTAAGGAACTCTACCTCCATGAAAGCTTTCTGGATGCTATGAGGTATGTTAAAGCTAACCCTCCTGAGAACCACTCCAAGCAAGTGTCAACCTGCTCTTCCTCACAACCTGTAACTTTAGATACACTTATATCTACCCTGAAAAGACCTTCTGTACCTCAGATTTTTAAAGGGACACTCCAGGCACCCAGACCACTTCTGCCCATTGGAGTGGTCTGGGTGCCAACTCCTACTACTTTTTATAAACTGCAATAATTACCTTGCAGGGTAACTTCACCTCTAGTGGCTGTCTACTAGACAGCCATTAGAGGGCACTTCCTGCTTCATATCACAGAAAAACAGTTCTAGATCGTCGCTGGAAGTTATTACGCTGTGTGAGGACCTCCAGCGTCACTCAATTCCCCATAGGAAAGCATTGAAAAGCATTTTCAATGCTTTCCTATGGGGAGCTCTAATGCGCATGCGCAAGCGCATTAGGTCTCCCTGGCCGGTGGGCGGGATCAGTCTTGCCCACCAGCCGACGTAATGCAGAGGAGGAGCGGTGGAGGAAGAAGCAGCGATGTGGGACATGTCGCTGCCTCTGGTAAGTGAATGAAGGGGTTTTCACCCCTTCAGCAACCGGGGATTGGGAGGTGGGAGGGAGAGGGGACCTGAATTTACCATTAACCATGTTTGAGGAGTCGCTGAAAAACAAGGCATAGAAAAAGAAACCAAAAAGAAAGAAATAATGCTTTCCTGTTTTCATGTTTTTGTTAATTTTATCTGTATGTTCCTTTAAACTGACATCCTTTTCAGTTCCTCCACACACCCTTCGATTCCAGAGTCTGCTCTTGAAGGGGGAGATTGTGTCAGGATTGCATTCTGACAACTATGTTTTATCTTCCTTTTATTTCTGTTCCTTTAAAAGAAGTTCCAGCTCTCAACCACTAGTGGCCTCTCTAGCCACTAGTCACCTCAGTCCTCACCTGCATAGGACTAATTACAGATCCTACAAAAGGCCACTCCCGAGAATACCAGTGGCCTTTACATTGAAGTTAATGTTCTTACTGAAACACTTCATATCCTGGCGCCTGTGAACCTGCTTCAGACTTCCTTCAAACCTGCTCCTAACAATAACCTGCTCCACCCTTACGTATACTTCAAACCAGCCTGCCTCTGTAACCGGCCTTCCACTGTTACCACCCTTCCTTTGATACCAACCTGCCTTTGTTACAACCCTACCTGGAAATTACACATATTCTTTATTATTTGCAAGTAACCTGTTTTGTGGCATATTACCTAAATTCTATTTTCCCTCAAGTTTCATGTGTCTAAAATCACTAATAAATTACCTGAAGTCAACCCTGGCAGAAGTCTCCTATCTGACCTGCTCAAGAACATGACAGTAGATTTCAGAAACTTGCCTTGGAAGGCGTTAGGGGCATAAATGTTGGCCAGAGTGTACATCTAACCTAAGATCATCCCCTTAACAAATACATATCTGCCCTCTTGACCTATGAGCATGTCTTTATGCTGAAAAGGGATCAATTTATGTTTAAGGATTGTAGTTCCCTTCGATTTACTTTCTATGATACTACCTTAATAGTCCTGTGAGTATAGGTGCTTGGTCAGATTTGCAGTATCCCCTCGAAAATGTGTTGAGGCCTCTGACATTGATGGACAAGAGCTTTCTAGTCAACAGGCTGAAAATGAGATCTATCGCACCCCCTATTGGGGGTTGCAGATAGTGTCGTTGAGAGATCCCGAGTCACCGGCTATATTCAGAGCGTGAGTCAATCAACGTCAGTCAATTCCCCAGTACAATCAGTGATAAAATACTTTAGTATACTTGAAACACTTGGAAATGAAAAGTAATTAAAAAAAATAGGACAATACAAAAGCAGTCTGGTCCCAGACTGAAATATATTTAATATATCGACAAAAGTGACAGGGCAAGGTCAGGGTCCAGATCCAGACCAGTTGGGCCTCGAAAACCCACCCGCTCTATTTGTGAGAAAATAATGCAGCAGTATTAAAGTAAGCAAGGTGTGTCACTCTAGCCATGGAACAGAATTGTCACGGTTCACTCCTTAGGTGATATTCCTTTCTGCTATACCTATTATCACCACTCTCTCTGTTTGATGCTATTCCTTTTTTCTTGTATATTTGGCACTTCAGCTGGCCCTTGTTAGGTACCTTTATAGTTTGGTCTCACCCTTCCCTCAGGATCAGATCATTGTTTCCTGTTTGTTGTATCCTGTGACTCTGACCCTGCATCCTCTGGTCTTGTGTTCCTGTATCCTCTGGTCTTTTATCCTGCTTCCTCTGGTTTTGTGTTCCAGTGTCCTTGAGGCTTGTATCCTGCTTCCTTTTGGCCTTGTATCCTGTGGCCTTGTTTCCAGTTACTCTGACTCTGCTTTCTTTGGCCTTCTATTCTGTGGCCTTGCATCCTTTTGACACTGAAGTATATCCTGTGTCTCTGGACCTGAATCCTGTCAGTCTCTCATAGTGCCTGTCCGGTCTTGCCCAGTGTATTAC